ACTACTCTCTCTCTCTCTCTCTCTCTCTAGAGAATGTGTGTGTGTGGGTGCGTTAGCTCGTGTTTTGGCATATAGACAATGACAGAGAACAAGCTACACTAGTGAGAGCTTGTTCCGTGGAGGAAGTTGAGGACCACTGTCCCTTTCCTGTCAATGAACAAAGCACCGAGTCATTAATAAGGACGGCATGCATGACCATTGTTTTCACCTACCCAAAGCACCAAAACTTTGTTGAACTGCTGAATCGGTCTCTTGAAATAATTGCCAGTCATGTTCTTGAAATGATTTGACTGTAGAAACAATGGAGAAAGATGGGATCACAACCTGAGGTACAGGGAGTATGATGAAGAGATCCAAGACAAAAACTGTCTTCGATCTCAAGCAGCCTCGAGTGGCTGTAGAACTGGAACCATCCTTCTCTGCCGCACCCGACCTTCGCATCGCGTTGTAGGCCATGGACATCTGCAGGCACATGTTCAGCAGGTGCACCGCGTCTGCCATGCACCGGAGAGCAGTGACGATGACCGCGAACCACCCGACGACGAAGAGGCACATGCACGCCCCGCTAATGGAGAGGGAGTAGAAGAAGAGAGGGTCCACGACGAGCCCAGCTGCGCATACGAGGAGGAACACCCGGTTCCACTCCAGGAGCCACCTGGCATGGCGATCCGACGAAGGGTTCCTCCGCCGCACAGACTCCTCGTCATGCGAGCTCATCGTGGAGGCGAACACAGACGGTGGAAGGAGGAAGAGATGCTCAGGACGAACACGAACGCGAGACACTAGTCTTGTCTTGGTTATGTACTTGCACTATTGGGCCTGGGGAATTTCAAGAGCCTCCACCGTCGGTTAAATCTGTAATAGCAAGTGAAGAGAGAGAGAGAGCTGTTATTGTACTGTTTTTGTTGGGAAAAATTTATTGAAGTGAAATAATTTTTTTTTATGTAAATGAGTTTTTCATCAAAAATATTAACTTATATTAAAATGTAAATATCAATCACAGCATAAATAATAATGTGGGAAAAATCACGGGATCATAGTCTACCTCAAACTTCCACTGTCAATAATAATGATAATAGATTTATAATAAATCTTCTTTAGAATAACTAGAGAATCGTAATAACATCAAGAACATAGATCTTGGCTCTAGTATATCATCATATAGGATAGATCTTCTCAAAAAGAATTTTAGGTATCACAAAGTGAGTATAACATGAAAGTACCTCAGAGAGGGTAAACTGTAGATCAACACCATTAGGATTGTAGAGTTTGCTGCAAGGATTCTCCACATAAAATTTGGATCAAAACTGTCAACGTTTGGCCACCGATCGTCAAGCAAAAAACTTAGAAACCGGATCTTTCTCTCTCTTCTCTTCTTTTTCTCTCCTCTTTTGTCACGTTTCTCACTGTGTTCTCACGCTGCACCCACCTTTTGCCCTTTCTCTCTTGATTATTGATTTGGGCTTATGGCCCAAATTATCCAAGCCCACATATGGGCTGGACCCAATAATTCTCTCCCTCCAGCTCATATAGTGGGTTGTACCAAGCTCGCTCTTTGCTTATATGCTTCAAGCTTCTCTTTAGGCAAAGACTTTGTAAACATATCTGATCCATTCTCATTGGTATGCACCTTTTACAATTGTAATTCTTTCATCTCAAGCATATCACGAATCCAATATCTCACATCAATATGCTTGGATCTAGAATGATATGTTGAATTTTTAGAGAGATTAATGACGTTCTGACTATCACAATAAACAGTATATTCTTCTTGTTTCAAGCTCAATTCCTGTAGAAACTTTTTCATCCATAAGGCTCCCTTGCAAGATACACACACACACACATATATATATATATATATATATATATATATATATATATATATATATATATATATATATAT